ATCCACCTCCAGAGATCAGTAAGGCAAGGCGACCCTCTGGCCCCTTTCCTTTTCATTAGCATAATGGAAGCCCTGGGTGCTAACCTTAGAGCTAATCGTAATATCAAACGACTAAGTATTTCTGGAATCCCGGAGGAGGCAATACCAATAACCTCAATGTTTGCAGATGATCTTACGATGACAATGGAGGTTTCTGTGACAAACATGGAAGAAATAAAAAACCTTTTGGATAAATTTTCTGCCCTCTCAGACATGGTGGTCAATTGGGGAAGTAAAACGCAAGGATGGTGGATCCACTCAAATGGTGGTCGTCCACCTGAATCCCCCAGGGTACAATTGTTGCCATTAGAAGCCCCGATGAGTGTGTTAGGTGTATTGTTGACTGTCTCCGGCAAACCCACAACTAATTATGAATGGATTTCGAAGCTCGCAAGAATCAACATACCTCTCTTTTAGGGAGGGCATTAGTAATAAATAATGTGGTGTTTACCTCTATTTGGTACAAATCAACAATTTGGGCAATTAGCAAACCAAAAATCAAGCATCTTTTAAAACAAGTGACGACATTTCTCTGGAGAGGAGATCACGAGCTTCAAAAGGTGATTCCTAGAGTGGCATGGTCTACCCTCATCCAACCTAAGTCCAGGGGAGGGTTAGGAATCTTGGACCCCACCCTACAGTGTCAAGCTTTGCCACTACAGTGGATAATTGACCTCATTCTTGGTATAGATAAGTCGTGGCAACCTCTAGCCCTACAACAAATAAAAAAACTGGCACAGGTCGCACCACCCGAAGTTCATCCCCTTACTTGGGTAGAAAGCACATTTTGGCACATCCCTCGTCCTTCTACACACTCAAGAGTCGAAGGGGAAAAAAATGCTACTCACAGGGATCTTATCTTAGATAATCTATGGATGTCTCTTCTGAGAGCGTGGAGGAAACTACCATTACCCTACGTAGCATTGTGTTCGCGTTCAGAGGCGAACGTGAACATGTTCGCCCGAACGCGAACAAGCGTCCAAAACCCTCCGAACGCTAACAAGCGTCAAAAACTCTCCGAACGCGAACATAAAAAATATTAAAAAAAAGTTCTCAGAAAAATCTGAAAAATATATATGTTATGTAAAATAACAATACAAGCAACTTTTGCCTTGGAGTTATGTTCAAATTCGTAGCCAATCATGAGTTAAAAATCAAAAAACGATTTTTATTTTTATTTTTATTTTTTTTTACGAAAAAGAATTATGTTCGCCCGAACATGTTCGCGAGCTGTTCGCGGGAACGCACAAACATGTTCGTGCGAACATTAAAGGGGCGCGAACACGTTCGCCGTGCTACGCAGCCACTACCCAATAAACCCAAGCCCACACGCTTTGAGGAAATCTTGAGGCAACCTCTATTTGGTAACAGATGGATTATAGATGTTAACGGCTGTGTGTATAATAACTCCACTCCTCCCTGGTTCCAGTGGGTGAAAAAAGGGGTCATACGGGTTAAAGACATTTGGGATCTACAAAAAAGAGGATGAAAATATACAGATCAACTTAAGAAAACAATTACTTATGCCCATAAATTGCACCAGAACTTGGACCACATAGCTAGTTTCATCCCTTTGGCATGGGTCAGAGAATTGAGAACTGGAGTGAAGTTTCAAGAAGGTGATTTTATAACAACTACACACGACCCGCAAGAGTGGCAGGTTGGGGAAATCATGAGTCTACTTGAGGAAGGAGCATTAGTATCCTTGTTCAAAATAACAGTAAATCATCTGCTCATCTCAGCACCAGATAACCAGGTGGAGTTCTTTCCATTCAACGAAATGTTTAAAATCAGAGTTATTTTTATCTCGGCAACCACTGGGTGGAGGGAATTTCATCCTCAATGCCCTATTCCAGATCTACCCTTTGACCCGGATGAACGGGTATGGCAGACGGGTACAAGGAGTAAGCCACATATTCTACAATCCCTAAAGGTTAAGGCAGCTTATCATCTGATCAGACCTCGGGTGGATGTGGCATCTGTAATAAGGGACCGATGGACCAAGCATTTGAACATTGATATACAAAGTATCAGAAATATAGAATTATTTAATCAACTGAAAAAACGACCTGCTAAGTTTTCCTCATTACAGTGACAAATACTCCATCGATGTCTCCCAACGAATGATTGGCTTATTGATCACACCAATCTAGAGCAACGGGGTCTGGCTCTCCCATGGTGCAAAACATGCCTATTTGTCTTCCCCAACTAGAGAATCAGAGAAATAATTGAGCATGTGTTCATTAAATGTCCTGGAACGGTGTTATTATGAAGAAGATGAGACTATGTGTGGAGAAGACTGACCGGACTTGTCTGGCCATGGGATTGGAAATTCATCCTACTGGGTCAATGGGAACCACTGGGAATGCAACTTTCAAAATTTCAGACGAATTTGTTCGAACTTGGTCGAAAGGCCATTCTATGGGCATTATGGTGTAAGAGGTGTGTATATGAAAGAGAAGATGTGAAACTGGAAGGCAAGGAATTCACTGAACTAATTATTCAATTTGTACAGACAGAAATACGAGCACACTGGTCAGTGGTTCGATCTAAGATACAACAGCTTCATCAAAAAAAGATATAAGCAACTGCATTCAAACATTCAATCAAGATTGGCTGGGGGGAACTGAAGGAGGGTGCTTGGGAGAAGTGAAATGGTTAGGGAAGGAAGAACATGGGGAAACTCTAAAGCGAGACTTTCTCCTGTGCTTCAAGGACTGGTTTTCTCTTCCTCCAGGAGCCACACTCAGATCATCGGAATGTTTTCCTGACCCCTTCCCCCCGTCGGAGTTAGCAATGGTGGATTTGCAGTGGTATCCTCAATGAAGTATGAATGCATTACTTATTGGACCTCTGAGGCATCTTGCAGTCTGGTGCAATCTCTGGGAAATTTTGTCCCCATTGTCAGTCCGTTCGTTACACTTATTCTCAGGACGTATTTTCTGCTAGGTCTAAAAGTTGTATCTGGCGGCCTGGTTGGGCTGAAGAGACACTCTTTATCTTCACACATCTTTATTCATAAAGAGATAAATGCTATGTATATGAGACGCTGGACCCGGTTTCCAACAGGTGCCCACCAATAGATGGAGCCTCTCCCTAGGTGTTAGTGGTGTCTGCTCTTACCAGCAACATTAACTGTGGCATACTGTGCAGCCACATGGGCCCTGCAGGACCCGTCCCGGACCTCCAGCATGTTTCCCTACAGGGAAACTTCTAGGCTCTTGCCTGAAAGCTTCCTTATGACAGGGCCTACAGGCCCCAGCCTGTTTCCCTACAGGGAAACTTCCAGGCTCTTGCCTGGAAGCTTCCTTCTGACAGGGCCTACAGGCCCCAGCCTGTTTCCCTACTGGGAAACT